TTTACTGAATTAAGAAGGGAACATTCTCAAAGAGAGTTATTTGTTGCCAGCGAAATCCCTTGTTAAAATCATGCAAAGGGCTGTGGTACACACACAGAATAGTCTTTACTATTGCTGTAAAGCTAGTCTACCTTAAGAAGCAAAAAGCTTCTGATTCTGTTGTAAATAACTTCTTTTTAATATTTCCAGAACTGTGGACCAAATTCTTGCAGATCCATTATGCTAAAGAGGTCATAGTCCACTCAGGCAGGAGTTGCTGCCTCCACTGACCTCCTAGGAAGATTCTTACTGCACTTAGTACTTTTCAAAGTGTGCTAGGCTAGCATACACGGTCTTTGTTAAACCATGTGATTTTATTGGAAATGCCTGGAAAGCAACGAGTGGTACATCATCCCAGAAGACTTGAAAGGACAGTGAATTCTGGCAGAATCCTAGGAAAGGCACCTGATGACAGGAGAACAGGTTACAGCCTCCTCCACCAGTATGACTGCCCTTGGCATCCACTGTAGCTGTGGCTTCCCTGCAGCTTCTCAAATGTTTTAAAGTACTTTTTAATGGGAAGGTGTAGTCCGGAAGATGACACTTAGTCAAAACAGTAATAAAGACAGGAAGACAAAATTGCTGTTTGCCTTTGCATCCTCCTCCCTTCACCCTGGTCCCTTCAAATTGGCTTCAGATGAATAAAATATCACATCAAAATACATTCAAAAATTGTTTCTACCACAGCCTGTATTTGACCTTTCCTCTCTAACATAAAGATATTCTTGCCAGAGGATAAATTACTGCTTGGAGAATTTTAATGCCTATTAGTGTACCTTTATATATGTACATAAACCAGGAAAATATTTATATTAAGCTTATTTTATATGATCTCATTATGAAAAACAGAATGTGGTACTTTATTTTGAAATATTCTCCTTCCCTAGTAAAGGGGATGTGGTTCCACACAAAACTCTGTATAAACATTATCGAGGGGGTGGGGAGAATCACACAGTGGCAGTTTATTACTGATGGCAGCAAATACCGAAAAAAACCAACTCTGGTTGTGAGCATACAGAATGTTACCCTCCTTAACAACTATGTACATATAGCAGCTGCTCATCATATGTGCCAGTATATTTCCTTTCTGGGTGTCTAAGCTTCCTCAAGTACCATATCAACTTAAAAATCTCTTGCAAAATTATTATACCCCATCTGCTACTGTGGATAGATAATAACATATCAGCTTTTTTTCACCACCACTCCCCAAGAACGCAGCGTGGAATAATCTTCTTTTTAAAAGGAAGCGGAATGTGAATGGGTGATAGAGTAGCATTGCTAAACATGTCTGTGAATACCAGGATGCCTGCTGCACATGGGTTATTACAGGTCTTACTTTATCTAGCTCTACAGAAAGCTCAGGGTGGGCATAGCACCTCTTCCTGTTCACATCTGTTCTCTTCTCAGCTTTACCATAAGACTGAAGTCAAAGGATGCACATGAAGCTCCTGCTCTCTCCACTCAGGGCTCACTGTTTTCCCAGACGACAGAACATTCTCCTTTACTCATTGCAGGCAACAGGAGTAAAGACAGCTTCCCACTCGCTTCGTTATGACTCACCAGAGAGGAATAGGGAGAGAGAACACCCTCCTGCTTAGTCAATGAAATCTTTACAGGTAAGATATCTCATTAAAGAGTCCTATTTCAAGAATAACTATTCTGTCTATTTTATATGTCAAATAAGAAAAAATAGATCTATGACATCCTCCCACTAACTTCTAAACAAATCAGCAGTGAAGCTGCTGACATTTAAAACTAAGTGCTCTTACAACGCCTTGAGAAACAAGCTGGTAGGATCCCCTCAGACTTTAGTATCTTGAGCTAACCCAACACTAGGAGTGAGATGATAAAAGAGGTATTAAAAATATACAAAGGCAAGTGAAGGATTTCTCAGATGTTTTGGTCACAGTAACGTTAGCTAACCCATGTTACAAGCAGTACACAGAAAAGTTTCAGCAGTGTTCCAGCCACTTCCACATTGAGAGTGAATGATTATGCAACAACCACCTCTGTGCACCATCCCTTTGACCCTCTTCCTTTCTCCCATCTTATTTTGTTGACTTAAGCAACAGATCCAGTACACGCACAACACCTGCTGAAAAATCACACAACGTACGAGTTGTAGAGCATTTCATACAGAGGCCAAACTAAACCCTTGGAATCATCATTCAATGCTTCACTGAATGTAAAGCAGATGAGGATTAATACTGTTATCCTTCCCTCAGCAAAATGGCAGATGTACTTCCTTTAAGATGACATTTAAAGGATCAGTAGTTTTCATTCCTTTCTCTTAGCCCATAAGATGCAGTTCACTAAGGCTCTCAGAACTGAACCACACATCGCTTTTAATGGTAAAGCATATTTCACTAGGTTGTGCCTATATTATGTGCACATTCTACATACAGTAGGAACTGTGATTTGGTATAAGGCTGAACATCTTATTTTATCTTCAATATTTACTAAAATCTTTTGAAAAACATCTAACAGTTCGAGATCAGCATTGTCAATTTTTGTAGAGTCTAAAAAGTCAGCAAAAAAGACGAACTTTTAACAGTTTAAAGTGATGCTGTTCTGGATTTAAATTGATATATACTTGATCTGACCATTTTTCTATCTATTCACACATATTTTACAAACAACTGGGGAATCTTCCCCAAAAGGCCAGTCTTTCATTAACTTTGGCTTTTAGATTTATGCCAATAACCAGAAGTTTGTAAGGCTACGGACTGGAATCTTCTGACTGGTTTCTGTGCCATGACTAGAGAGATGGAGACATAGTACTTCACAAATCTTCCCCACGTGCCAATAATTGTACTCCTTTAAATAAATACGTATTTAAAAGAATAGATACCAGAAGCAAAGAGCAAGCAGAAAAAGAAAAAAAAAAGAAAAAAAATATATCAATCCTGAGCCAGGGAACTCTACCGCTTTTTCTACTGTCTGTTCAAGGGTAAGACTGTGATCTTTCAGCCATTTACAAAAGAATCATGTTTTAGTACCTAAAAAGTTTAGGTGCAAATAGGGAATCAAAGCAAAATGCCACAGCTAAATATGCATCAGGAAAGCATGTCCATTCACCAGACAGAAAAAGAGTAAGGAGTTTACTGGTTAAGTAAACAATATTCAGGGTAACTACTTCCAGCTAAATATGAACATTTACTATGTTTAACCTACCAGATAGAATACCAAGGACAAACCTTCACAGATTAATAACGTGCCATCACTAAGTACAGAACCCAAGAAGAGAGAGACTTGCAAACTTCCTTTGGGTTCTATTTCCTCTGTTTGGTAACAAAATGAGGCACAGAAGAGGGCAGAATCTTTGATACGGTTTTTAATTTTTAGAGAAAGTTTATCCACGTGCCTGAAGTATATCGCAGCACAAGAAACAACTAACTTACTGTCTTTTTTGAGCGTAACTTTCAGGAATAAATAATTTTTAATACATTGCTCCCTAAAGAGCTTAAGTACGTTCAGTAATTACTAAACACACGCTAAAATAATGCTTTCCACAAATCTTCAAAGCATTCTTCCGTGTTTTATGGATTTCACTAAACCTGTTCACTAGCTTTATGACCGGATACTTCTTCCCAACCCAATCCACACTACACAACGCCTTTCAAATACTGCTGGCAAAGTCAATGAGATTACTTAAATACATAGTAAGAAGAAACAGTATCAGAAAAGAAATAATTATCAACATAGGAGAAAAGCACTCATTGTTTTTCACCTGGACCATCACACAACTGCAGTCAATCCTGCTGGCACGGCCCATTGCTAGGCCTCTAACGGTTAACAGCAGCTTGTTCTATTTGCACATTAAAGATGCAGATTAACCTCTATGCTGGAGAGCACTTGTTCATACAGCCTGTCCAGTACAGATGACTATGACCTGACTTCTAAGTACCTGACACAAGGACAGCCACATGCCTCAGAAAGAGACGATGCCACTGCCAAGGACCACACTCACGTACAGGACAGCCAGTTGCAAATGCCGAAGAAAGAAAACTTGATCTAAAGTCCCTCTCTTCTTTGGAAGCCGCATTTCTAACTCTTGAGTCTTGTTAGAAAACACACTCCCCATTCAGCCTACTCGTCTCAAAGCCAGAGCATCCTCCTGAAAGGCAGGGTTTTGAGTCTACTCAGACTTCAGGCAGTGAATCAAATCTCCCATTTTCTGATCGGTAAGAGTCAAAAACAAGCTTAGAAACGCTGTGCAACCAGGTGCTCAGACTTTTTAAAGAATACAACCCAAACGACCTTTTAGAACCCTATCTACGGGCTTCACAGATCTCTTATGTACTTATTTCAGTGTCTTCCTCCAACTATGACTTTAAAAAAAAGGGGGGGGGGGACAAAAGAGTTTATGGGAAACATTTAATGCATTTATCACTGAAAACATGTAAAAATAACTTTGCAATGCAAGACACCTTGCTCGAAATATTAGTCATTTTATTACAAGACAAATCAATACAGAGTATCAAGTTAGGTTAAAAATACAGGAACAAAATAAAACTAAAAATCAAAAAGCCATCAAAAATTATGATACAAAATGAGGTAAAAAAAAGAATTAAGATGATATACCATTTAAGAACGTAGAATTTTATTACAAAATACAACACATAGAATTAGCTTTTCAATGAGTTACCATGTATTCAAAAGGAGAAGGTTGTTCAGAACCAAAGAAATAAGCAGATTATGTTGGAAGCTATTAGAAGAAAATTTAGTATACATGAAAATATACATGCATGCATCATAAAACATAATTAAATGTGTAAAATTCTCTCAACAGATGAAGATATGAAAATGTCTTTTTTTTTTCCTCATTTAAATCAGAAGCCTCTCCAATAGCAAATAAGAAAACAGAACAGTTGCGTCTTCGTATTCCATAAATAAACATCTCACACAATGTCAAGTCTGCTAACTTTTTACATTGTAGTTATCAAAACATATTGACTTACAGAGGACAGCCACGGCTCCGGATTCAAACATGAGACATTCTTCTCTGTTTCTGGTTTCCACTATCACACTGAATGGAAGTGGATCCAGCTTGTGATAGACACGGTATCCTTTACTGAAAGCCATTTTGCCTTTATCAGAGGCAGTCCTGTCCAACACAAGATGATGTTAGTGAAACCTTGTGCTTCCAGATACCTTCTGCAAAGCAGGTCTGACCTGCATAGGTATTTTACATGTTTAACAAAAGACCAACCAAACAAAACCCTGCTTGCTCTTTCTACCTCATGAGACTTCTTTTATCTTATGTTCCAAAACAAATATAGGGACTATCTAAAAACAACATAATAATGTTTAAAAAACACAATTACCCAAACATCTTTCAAAAGAAAGGATTTATTCAAAAGCTTCGAGTCAACGAGAATTTCTTTCACAATACTTAATAAATAGGCTTTCTCCTCAGGAAAAAAAATTTAAAAGAATGAAAATAAGGTTCTCTAGCCACCACAAATATGTAAGAGTGACAACTATCTTAATCATAAACTAATGCCAAATGCAGAGGACCAAAAGCCTGGGCAGGCTTCAATTTTTAGATCTATTTTACAGATTCTGACCTTGTACAAAAGGACAGTGTATTCTAAACACTAAAGCTGTTAAGACGTTTTAAAAAATAATACAAAAACGTTAACCTATTTTGTTTTTCTTTTTGAAATGAAAGCAGGTTTTTGTTTGGATTTAAGCCCTCCCCTGACGCCCGAACCGTTGCAGAATTGTACTAGTGAAACTGCCCGTCAGCCACAGAGGTAAGACCTTCCTTTGAAACAATAAAAAACCCCGAACAATAAGAAACTATAAACAAACGCGAGAGTAGCCAAATTGTAAGGGCTTAAGCTCAGGAAACATACAGCGAGGGAAGATTCTTCTTGGAAGCCCAGGGCAGGGTTTCTGCCCTCTCCCGTCCCTTCAGCTCGGTGCCCGTAACCTCCAGGGCGGTCACAGGCACGATGCCG